CCCCCCTTTTATTTTCTCTGTTTCGCCATAAGCTCCTTTTCCACTTGCTTCTTTAATCTCTTCCTCCTTTTTTATGTTCTCAATTCCCCCTCAAGATGCCTCAGATAATGGACTGTTCAACTTTTTCCCACAGACCATCTGATTTCTACTTTCAATGACACTTTAGAAAAAAATCTAATGTTAGAAATTAAAATTTCATGAATGTGCAGTATATAACATTAAGAAGTCTCTCTAAAAAAAGAAACTTAATAATACACTCTTCTCAATACTTACAATTCACTCGGCACCAATGTTATCTTCAGCAATCAATAAAGACCAGCGTCTGTGGTGTAACAGTTAGGCGCTAGAGCATACAGAAGACAGTAGTTCAATTTCCAGACGGAGAAATTATTGCATGAAATATCCTGTCTGCCAGCTTACATTCTGTGTCCCGTTCAGACCAGGTTTTGCCCTTGCAGGGTCAAAGAAGCCCTCTTCCTAAAGGATCTAAATTGTGTTAAGTGGGGGAGGGGGGGGGGAGGGGGCAAAATGTACAAAATTACAGTTACAATCGGTTAATTCTCTGTGAGGAAAAATATTTCTCACAAGCTTGTAGAGGCCATTTTTAAGACCTGTATTACAAACTGACTTGCAGGGTGTTAGAGTGTGCCACTTAAAGTTTATCTTCTCTTCTTTCTTTATTTTGTCTCCGTCTGTCTCTTTGTCTAACTCTTCTCCTGCACTGAATGGTTATTATTGTTCTGATATGCTCCTCCCAAATCAAATTCAATCGAAAGCTAATTGACCTAGTTTTTAAATGTTGATTTGATTTCAGCTGGCAAAACAGTACAATATGGTCATTATCTCTCCAATCTTAGAGCGAGATGAAGAAAGGGGTGATGTGTTGTGGAATACTGCAGGTAAGTATTATAATGTTATGCTTTAACCTTGTAACTAGAAGAAATAGGTCAACTCTTTTTTTTTTAAATCTATAACCAATTCTGATGTAGATCTGTTGGGGGAGGGGGGAGGTCAGTAAAAATTAGGAATCAGCATGAGCGATCTCTCAAAACCAAAAACATAGCTTAACAGAAGAAAATCTGGCAGTTCTACAGGTTTCGGTTTAACCGGAGTCCAATGTACAATTATGTTGCAAAATGCTCATATTGTTTGTAAATCAAATTGTTTAAATATTTTAGTGCACTGTAACTCACATATCTTATGAATGGGTGGTTTGTAACATTTCTAATCTTTGGCCTAATTGTGTTGCCAGTGCCGTAAAAGTCTTACTAAAACAAACGTTTCTCGTGCCTCTTCCCTTTCAGTCGTGATTTCCAACACTGGACAAGTTTTGGGCAAGTCGAGGAAGAACCATATTCCAAGAACTGGTGACTTCAATGAGGTAAAAATCCTCAAAGTTTGTTTGTTTGTTTTGTTGTTTAGTTGGTTAGATATTTCTCCGTTCATACATTTCGACAGCTTAGTACTATCCCTAAGATCTCCACCTAAGATCCCTCCGCTTATCGTCCCGGTTTGCCTAATATCCCGCTATTTTGGAGAAACAGAATTTTTACTATAAAAAGGTCACCCTTAAGATCCCCCTCTGACCCGCACCGAAGGAGCTACATTCGGCTGAGATCCTGCTTTTCAGGTTCTCATTAAGTTGTTTTTTTGTTGGATTTTTTTTTTAGAACAAAAAAGAAACCTGGGCATGCTCAGCTGATCAACCAAGTAGCGAAAATGTGCAATCATTGTACAGTCTGTCACGTCACGGGTCATCCAGTCTCATGAATGTGATCACACTTCTGTTGTAAATCTCGATAAGCAGTTACAATGTTTGCCCCAGATGGGATCGCACCAAGGTATGAACTCGTTGACATGTTGCTTTCCCTGATCACCTGAGCTGCCCACCTGATCTTACATCACACACTAAGTGGGGAGGGCCTACAGGCAACTGCATTGCATCAAACTGAACTGGTGGACGCTTATGTTTCCCTTACCATCACTCTCGTCTTTCAGTTTTGCGCTCTAACTTCCTAGACAGACTGTAGACTGTTCGATTGCTTTTGCGTAATGTGGTAATCTGTTGGCAGTGAACCTGCTTTTCATTTTTTTTAAATTTAGTCGGTGTGGTCTCAACGCAGTGATTTATGAAGCTATGACATGGACAGGCAACTCCATCAGAGATGGAAAGCAATACATTTTTGGTTGGTGCTTCTCACCTGACACAGTATTTTTTAGAAAGGTCCACCCCCCTTCCCCAAACACACTAACACAAAAAAGGAAAAACTGACTTCTGAAAAGAACTTTTAGTGCCCAGGAGTCATGTCAGTTCATTTTAAAGTAAGAAGAGATCATTGTTTAGATTTGGGCTTGACCATCAGCTACTGTGGATTTTTATACCTGGCCATGTGACTAAAATCCCGGTTTGCCTAAGATCCCGCATTTTCCTTGTACCTGAGCACCGGGTCTTAGGCGGAGACTACTGTATAAGACTCCGCCATACTCTTTTTTGAAAAGGGATGTATGATGGAGACTCACCCTGAGCAGTGGATGTGCGTTCAATATTCTGTTCTATCTCAGGGTATAAGCTTTTTGTGATACCAATAACTCCATATGTCCAAAAATTGACGAGCGCCTGATAATCAGTGATTCCACCTCATCGTCACACATTTGTTTCTCTTCAAGAATGCTGTCATTGAAACTAAATTAATAACAATTTGCCTCGGCAACATTTAATTCTTTCTCAAAGTTTTATGATTTGAATTCGAAATGCTCCTTATTCAAAATTATTCTCCCTGTCAACCTGTCTTTGAAGAATCTACGTCTGCTACAATCAGATAAGATTCAAACCCTTGTTAACTATTTTTTCCAGAAGTATGGATGCCAGGCCTACGGAGGAAAAAATAGGATATTGAATTCAGTATTTAGTACACCACTTTTAAAGTAAACAAAGGTAATTTCTGTCTCCGCATTGCCAAGGAGGGTGGTTGGAGGGTGCTACTGACAGGTCTTACTTTTTTTTTCTATCCATGTGCCTTAATTATAAAAATTTCCCTTGGCGACAAATGGCTGTTATTGTGACGATGTGCTTCTCTTTCCTCCAACAAAACAAGCTCACATAGTGGGCTGTATTTTTCCAACACTGTTGATTTCAATTTCATTATGTTTCAGCTTTCAGTGGTTAGCAGATGCTCTGGTGTGCTTTGCTCCTTCTTTCCTATCAAACGTCTGTCATCCTTATTTCTCCTCCTTCTTTTCTTTGCATTGTACTCTTTAGAAACCCCTCTAATCTTTGACACTTTTTTGACAAATTTGTGTTTCAAATGTTCTAAAACTCTTACTAAACCTGAACTAAAAACTCTATTTCAGTCGACATACTACATGGAGGGAAATACTGGCCACAAAGTGTTTCAGACACAGTTTGGTAAGTTTTTTATTTTTAAAGCCACAGACTTTGTTGAAAAAAATGTGATGGAAATGATTTGGAGAGGGGTTTTTTTCTGTAGTTGTGTAAAGGTTGTCACTGTAATAATACTCTAATGAGATAATAAGAAAAAGACGAATGCAATCTTATGATACAAATGCTGTCACAATGATCTTTAATGTCTCGCTGCCTCAGGAAAGACTGATGGAAAAAGAAATAGATACAGGCCAAGAGCAACAAGTCTAAATTTTTGAGCAAATGAAAATAGTCAGGACACTCCAAGATTTCTGGGGATGACCAAATGGAGGACTGAGTGAAGGGCTATGATTGTCAATGTTTGTTTCTGACTTGGCCCTTGAGAGAAAGAGAGAGAGGGGGGGGGGAGTGAGAGGGAGAGAGAGAGAGAGTGTGTGTGTGTATGTGTAAGTATCTATAAAAATTTAGCAGCTGTTCATGGAGGAGCTATATGTGAGACAGCGTGGTGGAATCAGGCTCTCGTCAATTTTTGGGCATGTAGAGTTATTGGTAACATCTTAAAGCTTGTTCACTTGTCTTTATTTGGATGGGGAAAAAAGTACATTTATCTTGAATACAAGTCGAAATATTTGGGAAATAAGGGGGTGGGGGTCACCTGTTTTCAGAGGTAAAATAAGTGAGAAAATGGCCGCCAAAGATTTGTTATTTCCTTAGCTTAAGAGTCCGTGGTAAATGAAAATTTACATTTTTTGTGCCTTTAATCAACGTTTTTCAGAAAAATACACACTGAAATGAGTTCTTTAATGGGCATGAAAGGTGTTGAGCCAAAAAAGAAAAATTTGATAAAAATTCACAAACCGGTAGAAAAATGCAAGTTTCTTCACTTTGATTATTTTTACGAGAACCTGATTCCAGCACGCTGCCTCACATATGTGTGTTGGTGCATTTTTTAAATCCTAGTTCTTCTTTTTCCTCATTCTTCTTACAGCGATGCACGATATCCTCACAAATGTAACGTTTTGCTTCACTTCGTTTTGTTAAAGCTGAAATTCCTTGTGGTTGCCATAAAGCTATTCCAAGTTCACTGGATTATTTTTCTAAATTTCTGCTTATTTGAGGAGACTGTTTTGTTATTGATTTGCAATTCTTCAAGTAGAAATGGGATGAAACTTATGAGACAAGGGGACAATGCAGATGAGTCAGAGCGCGCCATAGTGCAGTGGAGACAAAAAGAATTGTGCGTTTACACTTTTTCATTGATTATTATCTTTGCAATGGTTTTTTTACCACCTGATCTATTGTTGTGTTGGTAATAAATCATTTTGAATTGTAAAAAGAAAATAACTTGATCAAAACAGAAGTTCAAATAGAGGTGGACAGTCTGTTTATCAAAATACAGCTTACAAAATATTTAAAATATAATGTAATTTGAGATAAATCAGCAAGACGATGACAAGTTAATTATCTGTAACAAATAAGATTAATGAATGAAAAGGATTGTATTATTAGCCTCTACAGCCCAAGTTGTGTATATTTCCCTCACAAGTTTTCATTCCTTTAGGCCTAGTTGTGTATATTTCCATCACAGGGTACCAACCACTACAAACTTAGTCAGGTATTTTAACAATAATCTGTTTGATTTTTTAAAACTTTAATCAAATGAAAGAAGTATAGAAATTTTGGTAATGCTTGCAAAAAAAACTACTACACAATCACATTTACCTGAGCCAGAGGTACTTCCCTTGATTGTTTTCATGCTTTTTGGATTAAAGATTTTGTATGTTGAATTTTAAAATACTTCTTTGGTCCTCTTTTGTTTCTGTCTATTTGCCTTTTCTTCTTTCATTCGCGTAATGACTCATATTAGTAGATAAAAAAATGTTTGTTTCAATTCAGGAAAAATCGCCATCAACATCTGTTATGGTCGTCACCACCCTCTCAACTGGATGATGTATGCTACAAATGGAGCCGACATCGTGTTCAATCCTTCTGCAACTGTTGATGGCCTCAGGTAACTGAACTGTTTTTGCACAACTTAGTATGAACATTGCACTGTCTTTATGACAATTGTTACAATAGTTTTTACTTTATGTCATTCTTCTATCTTTATGGACATTATTACTATAGTTTTTGCATATCATTCCTCTATCTCTTGTGTTCAATACTTCAATGACATTTGATGGCATCAGTTAGCTGAACTGTGTTAATAACTGAATAAGAACATTATTGCTGCGGTTTTTGCCTGTCATCCCTTTGTCGTGAGTGCACCTAACCTTTGTAACATCAACTGCCATTGTTAACAACCAGGACAAACTTCTCCCTGCAAGACGAATACAGATTGTCTTTTGTGATTAACAATTTTGATATCCTCAGGAAGCTGAACTGTTTTTACATTAATATGATTGAACACACACATGTTTTAAATTTCAAGTTATTTTAGATTGTTTCTTCTAAATTTGTAGGTGTTTAAGTTTATTGAAACTGGGCTAAATATTTAATTTTTGTAAGTGGAAAACAACAGTCATTGCATTAATTTATCTCCTCTATTGCTTCTAATATATATGGTTCATAATTAGCATTACAAGTGGTAACCCTTTCTCAAATCCATTCTAAAACTAAAACGAAAAAAGGGAAAAATTGTTCACAATACTAACCTGAACCTGTGGTTTCAAAATAAAAACAACAGGCAGAAATAGCAAGAGGAACTAAATAATAGTATAAATTAGACTGTATTTTACGAAATATCTCCCATTTGACTTCAGAGGCACTGCGTGTGCAATAGGTCTGGAATAATAACAAGCCCATGTCTGGTTTGTTTCTAATACTACTGCAATCATTTTGGAGATGTTGGACCAAATTGTATATTTTATGTTTACCGTTTTAGTTTCATTTTGGGTGAGAGAGAAGTTAGTATTAGCGATGCTAAATACTTTGGTTCCACTGTCATATTTTTGACAAGCTACTGCTTTTGACATATGTTGGTTAATTGCGAAATACTGGCTGGGGACAGCGAGTCTCTGATATGTATAATTTCCTGGATTGGTTCTTTCAGATTTTAGTATCTATTAGTAAATGTCATCATTGTTTTAACTGGTCTTTGTAAAAGTAGACATGATGCTAGCTCAATTGATATCATGTCAGGATATGATTTTGATGGCCGTGGTTCAAATTTCCAATAGGGTGTTTAACTTCAGTTTGCTAGTGAGTTTTCAAGGCTTTCCACTCTCTCTACTTATCCTTGTTGGAAATGGATGTTAATTCGGAGGTCTTACATTTTGAATAACAATACAATGTTGGAAAAGGATGTAAAATCAATACAATTAGTATCATAATTATACCTTTTATCATTTTTTGGGCGGTTAATAATTCTCTTCTTTTGTACTTTTCAGTGAGCCTATGTGGCCTATTGAAGCGAGGAATGCTGCCATTGCCAACAGTTACTTCACCTGTGGCATCAACAGAGTTGGAAGTGTAAGCCTCTTACCTATTGTATTATGCTCTAACTGTGGTACTAGTTTCTTGAGAAAATTTCAACTGGCAAAAAAAATAGAAGATTCCCTCCTTGAAATTAAATTCAAGAAAGTTAAATTAATGCCTGGTAGATGTAGGGTCCACAGCATAACATAAAATAGACCTTGATCTTACGAGTAAGGAAAAAAACAAGATAACCTACTTCTTCCTGGCACACAGTTAAAGCATAACACTGTTGTCATGGTAAATGCTCAGATAATCTGGCACACACTTGGATTCAATGTTTTTAACTCTTTATCCCCGAGGGGACAAAACCCACTACAACGTGCCCTTTTTTGGTGCTAAATCTAAAAATTACAAAATCGTCACAAATGGGTCATTAAATCGGAGCTAACAAATTTGACCTATTTTGATAGTTCTTCATCTAATGAATGAACTTCCGGTATAAGAGACCTGTTTTCTGCAATTGACAAAAAAGTAATTTGATCTCGAAGTCGTCGTAAAGGAATGTGCCCGAGCCGCTGCTAGCGGCTCACCGGCATTGTGGTTCCGACCATGAGCTGCTAGGAGCGGCTTGTCGGAGATAAAGAGTTTATTCATACCATCTCTTATTGTCGGATGAGAAAAACTTGCAGTTGAGTCAACAGCTGAAATCTCTGTGATACCTGTGTTTTACATCACTGCAACCCTAGACAAGTTGTGGGTGTGTTTGGGATCAAGGCTTTGGTTTTTATGTCGCATAGAACTTTTAACACGAAGCCAGTAAACACTGAATTCTTGTTACCACAAAAAAGATTTCAAATTTTCCCCCACCCCTTCCCCCTTTTTTTCTAACCCTCTTTATTCTATGCAATGCAACTTTCCCCAACACAGAATGGGCTCATGGAGAAATTTTCTGCGCAGGTGAAGTTTGTGGTATTAGGGTTTTACTGCAGTCAATTTTACTGCGTTGAATTGTACCTGAATAAATTTGCCTGTGTGCATGGTCCCGTATTTCAGATCACCCTTTCGAGAGCACTAAGAACAGCCTGTGCCTCACACACTGATAGCATTTTCAGTGGGACATGACCCCTTGAATTCTATGGTCAGCATTAGCAAATATTGTAGATGGTCAAATAAATGAGAAAAAGCACTATCTGAATTTCAGAACAATGGATATATATTGTCGAACCTGCTCTAACGACCAACCAGCTATCCAAGACAATCAAATATACAAATGAACTCTTCCCACTTCCCTCCTTGAGTTTTTTCTGTGTTATAATGACACTATACAAAAGACCACCTGTCTAAGATTACTTCTTTTTTCTTTGACAATGGGTGGTTGTCTTGAACAGGTTCGACTGTATACACCCTAAGCGGGCTCATCACCAGTTGTTAAAGCTCATTGTCCACCACTTGAGCGCTCTCATGCATGCGTGTTCGTGAGTGTGCATGCATGAGTATGTGCATGCGCGTGCGTGTGTGTGTAGCAGCTGTAAGATAATCCTATTTTTATTAATCCTGTTGTTGATGAGCTGACCTCTCTGTGTCCCTACAACTGTTATCTTACCCCCCCCCCCCCCCTCTTGGCAGTGCTACTGACTGAATTGTCTTTTGGCCATTCCCTAAGCGGGGATATTAACATGTTCTTATGCACAGTAGAATTGTAAATGGGCTGATTTATCTATGTCATACTCATACTGTGCCGGAACAACATGGGGAAACTGCTGCTTTTTCTTTCCTCATCCTTACTATCGTCATTTTTATTCTACTTCTTTTGTATGTTTGTCACTCTCTCTCGTGTGAACTGCTATATCCGGGGTGCCTTGATAGTCTAAGCAGACTTTGTGCTGTTGAGGCTAGAGAGGTGAGCAGAGTAAACCTGATTCCCCTTTTGGACTTTTCTGTTGACATCCACCCCTTGGCGCTCATATGACCTTATGCAGTTGCGAGCACCATAAAACCTTACTAAAACTAAACAACTGTTATCTTTTCTTCTGTTCATGTCCTTGAATTCCTTTTTTGATTCCCTGCATATCTCTGCTCTTGCATTTGTTTTCATTTATTCGGATGAGTCAGGGAAATATTGTAAATAGCAACAGCTGATACTTTCTCACCTTCCACCTCTGAAACTTGAAATGTCGTTCTCCTTTACACCGGTGGATCACACCCAGATGTGACTTCATATGCAATTATTTTGTTTTTAGAACTAGTTTGTTTAGATTGTGTGTATCTGTGTTGTGTTGTGTGTGTGTGTGTATCTGTGTTGTGTGTGTGTGTGTGATGAGTTGATTTTTTTCAGTGGCTGATTTGTTCTTTTACCATGGGTTTTTCACAGACATGAGTTGATGTTGTAAACTGTAAGATAAGACAGTCTTGTTGCACACGTTGAGAGGGAGGTGCTGATTTTCTGGATAAATCCAGAAGTCAGGATATCTGAAATTGCCCATGCGCTGCTAAAAGCGAAATGCTCGCAGCTAAAGGGATTTTAAAACAACAACAACCACATCTGAAATTGCCCAGATTTTGTAATATACTCATCCTAATACATTTATAATTTTAGTCTGTTTTGCACATCATATTACGCTTTATACAAAAAAGAGTCTTGATACAAAATGCGTTAGCCAATAATATGATTTGTAAATTTTGAGTTCTTGCATGCACACTTCCATGAGGTCCTAAAAGTACATAATTTTTTTCGTAACTTTGGTATGTAGAGAAATTAAAAATACCGTCAAACCTGTGTAAGATGGCCGCGCATTGTCAAGGAGAAAAGTGGCCATATACACAGGTGGTCATCATACACAGGACTGATCAAAATGAAGAAGAAAAAAAATAAACATTTACTTCTGAGGTCTCAACTGGTGGTGGTCGCAGGCTTAGAGCTGCCATAGGGCTCATTAATATGGGTTTTTTTTTAATTGTTGTATTTTTTTCTTTTGAAAGGGGGGGGAGGATAGTACGGTTTTTGTGGGATCTTTTGTTGTTCTTTTTCATGAAAAAAATTATGGTTCCATGAAAGGTCAAACAAAACTAAATGCGAGGAAGGCGAAGTGCCATAGTAAAACAGACAAATGGATCGCCCCCATTCGTCGAATGAGTGACACTTTTGTCGAGAGTTGTTGTGTTGACTTCCATTGTTATGGACTGGCTTTATGGACTGATTTATTGGCGGGGCTTATAGGTTATGACGGATCACACGCTTCCTTTTCCAGCAGTTGAAAATTTATTATTACCCATTGGAAAACTTGGGTAAACATTGGGAGCGACCTAAGCAACATGACCGTTTCATCCATTGGACAGTTGAACAAATTATGTCAGCTCATCCTCAGCATCAGGGGGAAATGCATAATTTTTTATAACCCTGTCCGTCTCGGCCAGGTCAATTTTATTGTGGGGTGATAATAAAGGGTCGCCACAGCCGCGTCAAACAGGTGCCTGTTTTACACTGTTAAATTGTACAGAAAAAATGCAAGGGAGGAATGGAAAGTGGCTGTTTGTACAGGGGGCCGTCATAGCAGTTTTGACTGTATTACTTTTGTGATCTATACAAAGTACCATATTATGTGACTATGAAAGCTTTTTTCAAAGTTGTGAGTTCTCAAATTATTTGTGATTATTTGTCGCTTTCTTATTCATGATCGGAGGAGCTCTGAATGCTTGCGGGTGGGAGATCTTACTTCTTTTTTCCCCACTGTTCTTTCAATCTGCCTACCTTACTTTTTCTCTTGCACTTTTCTTCTTCTTTTTTTTAAAAGTGTAAATGTTCATCAATGCTATTTAGATCATTTAAGAGACCGGCTTTGATCCTGTAGAAAGATCAAGATTAAAAAATTCTCCCCTCAAGGGAACCAAACTGAGATCTGCTCTTTATTTGATATAACAAACAAGATGTCTGTCTGTCTGTTTTTCTATGTTGCTTATTCCTTGCACAAAATCACTGGTATCTTGTGGATATGCTTCTCTTTATTCTAGCTAGATCCCAACTAAACCCCCCCCCCTCCCCCACCCCCCACCCCAAAATTTGATTTTTTTCAGGAATCTTTCAAGAGTGAATTTACTTCAGGAGATGGGAAACCTGGTATGTTTTTGATGAGACAATTGTTTTTGTTATTGTTTTTGCAATCTTTTCCTTTTTGCTGCAGACATAATGGTTGAAGTGCTTTTCTAGTTGCTCTTGCTTTCTCTCTGTTGTTTCTGTCTATCTGTTTTGGTTTCTATCTGCATTAAATGACCGTTATTATGTTGTTATGTTCCTCTTTACTCAGAATGTGTTCTTACCTCAGACCAAGCTTTCTCCCTTCCAAATTACCTTTTACGTTTCTGGAAAGGTATAACACTATAGGAAAATTCATAATCATAAGTATTTTACATCCATGTGGACACAGTTCATATCTTTTAGGGGGCAAGCTGCTTTGACATTGTCTGTCAGGGTCAACCAAAAGGGCTGAGAGGGACACAAAATCCCAGCAGTCAGGTTGAGGTATTCAATCCAAAAAATAAAAAAAAAATCCCCCAGGAGGAAATTGAATTCATTTATCTTCTGTGCATGATGGTGATGGGCCTATCCATTACACCACAGACACCGGTAATTTGAAAGAGCTTTCCTCAGTGCCTTGTCATGCTAAGTGTGTCATGCTTGTCTGATAAGCTATCCTATTAAATTGTTCATGCTCAGTGACAAGAAGTTAGATGAACTGTTTCTTTCTCAACCTTTCAATTTGACAGGTTTTGCATTCCCTGGTAAGTCAAATTGTCGAAAATTGTGTAATTCATTGACAAACCTGGTATGTCAAGATGGCATTGTCTAAGATTGGTTGTAGTAGCACTGCTTCATTCTCCACTGTCAGGATTGTATTGGGTTCTTTTTGTTTCTATTTTTAATGGTTATTTTTTATAGTTTCAGATTATATTATATAACGATAAACGTTTTAAATCCCTCGGGGCGGTGCCATTGACTGAAGTGTCTTCAGGCCATTCCCAAAGGGGGGACATTTCTCGTCTAATGCACAGTAGAATTGTAAATGAACTGATCCAACAATGTCATGCTCATAACTGTGCCTGAACTACAACAGGGAACTGCTTCTTTTTCTTTCATAATCCTTACTATCGTCATTTTCCTCTACTTCTTTTGTATGTTTGTCACACTCTTGTGACCCGCTATTTCCGGGGTGCCTTGATAGACGAAGCAGACTTTGTGCTGTTGAAGCTAGAGAGGTGAGCAAAGTAAGTCTGATTCCCTGTAAGGACTTCTCTGTTGACATCCACCCCTTGGCGCTCATATGACCTTATGCAGTTGCTAGTGCCGTAAAACCTCTACTAAAACAAAAACAAAAACATTTTAGATCATATTTTCACAATGTTCTTAAATGGAAATTTAAGTGGGTGGTTGGAGAGCGCCTCTGATGATTCCTACTCCTTTTATTTCCTTTGTTGTTACTGTCTTTCTTGTTTTGTTTTTTTTCTCTTGTTCTCAATGACGGTTACTGTGTGCTGATATGCTTCTCTTTACTCAGACTGAGAAGTTTCTGTTCTTCCACAGCTCATCATGACTTTGGGCATTTCTATGGTGAGTGTGTTATTCTTTTAGCATAGTCAATAAATGAAATATAACATAATATCATTAGTGTCACAAGCATTGTGCTTAAGTCCATGTGGGTACTTTTTTTTCGTCAGAGACAAAAAGTGGCACTCATATGACCTTATGCAGTTGCAAGCGCTGTAAAACCTAACAAAAACAAAGACACAAAATAGCTAGTCTAGTTTTTCTTTTATGTTGGTTCTTACGAGGAATCATGAAGAGCAAGAAAATTGTAATTCTTGAGCATTTCATTTTAAGTACTGCATTTTGGTGATGTTGAAAGGTGCATCTTTGGTAGAGCTTTTGGAGGATGTAAAAAGAAAAAAATTGTTCAAATTTAGGATTAAGTGGATTTCTTGCGATAGCGACAATATTATGAAGACAATAGAGGCAAAGATGGCAGTGCCATGATTTTATGATTCTGAGAAATCCTAGCTTTAAATTTTGGAATCTTCACACATCTGAAGGGAAGACACTATTGAAACAACAAAACTCTTTTTGTGTGCTGCTGAAATGCAGCAGTAAAACTTCTATTCCCCCCCCCCCCCCCCTTGCTGTCTGTTCTTTGAATTGGTGTTTTTACGGTCCCATTGACATAGTTTTGATAATTTAGGAGGAAGGCTTCCGACTTCGCCTATCATGCAGAGCTAACTTGGGTTGAGAAGATACAAAATTCCAGCACGAGCAGAAACTCTGTAAAAATGTTCTCCCCACTTGGGAATCAAACCTGAGTCTCCTACATGTGAGTAAAAAAAAATAAAAATTTAATGAGACATTTAAAAAAATTATAGGCCTATATATAGGAATTTTTTTTTTATTCTTTTAATTGTTCAATAACATTTTAATTCAAATACACATTGTAAAGTCATTTTGATTTCCCCTTTAGGATCAAGCTACATTGCTGGACCAGACGGCAGCCGGACTCCTGTGAGTTGAACATCTTTGATGAAATTATTTTGGATTATTTTCTTTGTTGAACTTTACTCATTGAAATGTATTTTTATTGATTTTTCTGTTTGTGTGTGTGCATTTGTATTGTTGATCATTGTTGTTTATTTATTTATTGTTGGTGGGGGTTTTTTCGTTGTTTTGTTTTGGGTTTTTTTAATGTTTTTGTCAAACAATATATACTAAAGATTATTAATTCTTCGATGTGTGAAAAAAGAGTGAGTCTTGCACTCGGATTCAACACTCATCCACCCTAATATTCAGAACGATAACAGCCTCTGAATCACAAAGTCCCTCGGTGCTCCATTATAAGCTTCGTTGGTATCATGTTGGGCTGTGGAATGTGTTCCCCTGGTTAAAATTTCTAAGTGGGCTTTTTTTTGTTTTGGTTAGTATTTTACGGAGCTCTCAACTGCATAAGGTCATATATGAGCATGAGCCCGCAACATTTGCATGTTGGTAGGAATTAATTTTGAATTTTGCGCGGATGGCAGCCGAAGCATTCTATTATCGATTTTGGACCACCAAAGGGTCTTTAACATGCACTACTTGCACAGGGGACCTCCAAGATTTTTCGCCCTAATCCAAGAAGGCTAGCTGTTATATAGCTCTTACCCACCCTAAGATAAGGGGTGTGGCTGAAAGACAACAGTAAGGAGCCATGGAGGTGCAGTTGAAAGGCTGCAGAAATACCCAGAAGCCCAGAGGAGTTGGCAAAGGGGGAGAGGGGGAGATTGAAAGTGGAGATGTTAGCAGACAACAGAATATGGCTAGAGAGCGAGAGAGGAGAAAGGATAATTTTTTTTAGAGAGAAGTTTTCTGTCCCTGTCAGATTTTGAACCCAGGACCTATTCAGTCAACCTCTGAGCCAGAGATGACACCACCCCCCCCCCCCCCTCCCAGGGCAGTGCTACTGACTGAAGTTGACTTTAGGCCTTTCCCAAAGGGGGGATATTAACATGTTCTTTTGCACAGTAGAATTGTAAATGGGCTGATTTATCAATGTCATGCACACACTGTGCTGAAACAACATACAGGGAACTGCTGCTATTTCTTTCCTCATCCTTCTTTCGTCATTTTTCATTTACTTCTTTTGTATGTTTGTCCCTCTCTTGTGAACTGCTATTTCGGGGGTGCCTTGATAGTCGAAGCAGATTTTGTGCTATTGAGGCTCGAGAGGTGAGCAGAGTAAGCCTGATTCCCCGTTTGGACTTCTCTGTTGAGATCCACCCCTTTGGCGCTCATATGACCTTATGCAGTTGCGAGCGCCTTACTAAAACTAAACTAAAGAGATGACACCTTCAGGTATTGGAGACAGACATTAACTTTGGAGGTCCCGCCTTTTAAATAACCCATGGCTACAAAATCCTTAATACATGTATTCTGAACTAGAAAAGCCTCTGAATCACAAGGACCCTAATATTGTGGACTGTTCCACTTTGAATCACAATAGTCTCTGTCAAATAAGCTGAATGATACAGCCTCTGAATCACAAAGTCCCTCATAGTCTTAACTGGAAAAGCCTCTGAATCACAAAGTCCCTCATAGTCTTAAATGGAAAAGCCTCTGAATCACAAAGTCCCTCATAGTCTTAACTGGAAAAGCCTCTGAATCACAAAGTCTCTAATACACTGAACAATGACAGCCTTTGAGCACAAAGTTCCTAATGTTCTGAACAACAACAGCCTCTACGAAAGCGAAAGCGTGTGCTTTTAAATACATCAGAAGAAACTTACACTAACCACCCATATCTTCCTATTTTAAAAATATACCCTCTACGCACTCCACCAAGCGGGTGGTTGGAGAGCGCCAATGACACTGGCTAGTCCTACTTCTTTTTTTCCTCTCAGTTCTTTCTGTCTGTCTTTCTTACTTCTCCCCAGCACTAAATGATCATTGCTGTGCCGATATGCTTCTCTTTACTCCTTTACTCAAACGAACAAACAAACACTCAACCAATCATCCCACCTCCAAAATAATTATGTCAACGGGTGCGTAAAACGGTTAGAATAATTACAGCAATTAATTGACATAAGAGAACCGCCTGTCGAAACTGACTGGATGACCTACTTCAGGTCGGTCAGACAGATGTGAAGGTCGTACCGGACAGTAACAGTTACTGTATGCCTGGTTGCTCTGACCGTAACACGCGTGTGTCAAAAGGTGAGACTACCCCCCCC